CACCACACCTAAAACTACTAGTACTCCCGTTGACACCAGACCTGTCCGAAATGATCGTCTAGGTACGTTAGTTACTAAATTATCCCGCGACTACTCCCAAGCAGAGTCCTGGGAATCCTTTTTCACAAACTTCCGAGGTAGCTCCTACCTCTCCCCCGAAATGGAACAAGTCGATCATCCAGCCATACCCTTTCTCACCGAATGGCGTGACCATGAGGTTCCCGTCAACAACAACTCCCATCCTTGGACCGCCGAGCAGAAGGAGGAATGCATCCGCCTTGGATGCCACAAGTCTGCAACCGAGCACTCCGCCTTCCTCCGAGAGGAATTCCCCGAATTCATCACCAACAAGTTCTGGGTAGTCCTACCCTAAGACCTTGTCAAAGACGAACCTTCCTTGCTACTATCCGCCGCTGCTGTCAAAGAAGAACGGGACCGCAAACCCCGTCTCATCAGCGATCACTCCTGGGACTGGGGATGGCCCTCGGTGAACCAAACCACTGTTCATCATGCTCCACCCGAAGCCATGCAATTCGGAGGCGCCCTTCCCCGGATTCTCTACGACGTCCGCCACGCTAACCCCAAGTTTGGTCAAGTCCGCCTCTGCAAGCACCACATCAAGGATGGCTTCTAACGTATGCTTCCTGAAACGCCCTCAGACTGCATCCCGTCTCACGCTCGAGTCCTCCCGAAAAATACGAATAGGAGAACCCCAACTGGGAGCCATCCCAATGTCTTCCACCTTGGGTTGGGTCCAATCCCCACCTACATTCAGCGGAATGTCCGAAACTGCCTGCGACCGCGGTAACTCGCGGTTCTCGCACTCGCCCCGCTCTTGTCCGCCGCCCCGCCTCGAGGAACCGGCATCTCGCCAGGACGACCTGGACCCATCCATGACTCCACGGCCCCGCGACGCCGAAGACGAGTCCGACACTCAGGCCCTCCTGAACATCGCCACGGAACCCCCCGAGTCCACCGCCGCCGACGACATCGCGGCAGTCTCCAAAAGGGTCTACAACCGTCCCCTAGGCCGCAATGATGTCTTCCTTGACGACTTCATTCAACTCCGGCAAGGAGGCAAGAACCGCCTGAACGTACTTCGCCGCCACCTTCTCCACGCTATCGACGAGATCCTTGCACGCCCAAACCTGGACGAAAAGAATCGCAACGAAGCCGTCTCCTTGAAGAAATTACTAAAGGCGACGGCAGCTGGGCCACCCGAAACCCCATCCTCGGCTGGATCATTGACACTCTACGACAGACACTCGAACTACCTCCCCATCGCAAAGAGGCTCTCGCGGCTATCTTCCAAGAGCTAGCCGCCTGCAAGCGCGTCAGCAACAAACGCTGGATGCAAATCCTCGGAAAACACCGCTTCGTCTCGGTCGCCATACGGGGTTCCGCTGGGCTGTTCAGCGCACTCCAACTCGCCCCCACCAAGGCGAAGGGGAAACCGCATCCTGATCACCGCCGCTCTCCGCCATCACATCGACGCCTTCGCCAACCTGGCAGCCAGCCTCTGCCACCGACCCACACACCTCGCTGAAATCGTGCCTCAGGACCCTACCTACTTCGGGGCCACTGAAGCCGCCAAGGCCGGTATGAGTGGTGTCTACTTCGACTACACGGGTCAAGGATACCTATTGAGAGAGCCTTTCCCGGACGACAACCAACGCGACCTAGTCTCGACCGCAAACCTCTCTGGCTCCATTACCAACAGCGCCCTCGAACACGCTGGCATTCTGGCTCAACAACCTCTCCTCGCCGACCGTCACAACGTCCGCTACGCTACCCTCTACACGCTCTCGGACAACACCCCGGCTGTCTCCCGGGCGGCCAAGGGTGCCGTCTCCACTGATGGCCCAGCCGCCTTCCTCTGCCACTACGCCTGCCTCCACCAACGCAAACACCGGTACTGCCCTCTCTCGTCGTACATCCCAGGACCGGCTAACCTCATGGCCGACGACACATCTCGTCTACAACATCTCACTATGCCCGAAATCCTGTCCCACTTTGAGCATCACTATCCGCAGCAGCTAACCTGGAAGGGGTTGACGCTGCCACGCCCGAATCACTTCCATCTACTCTCCGCGCATTCGCGCAAGTTGCCTCCAAAGCATCGTCTCCAAGACCAGCTCAGGCCCGAACCGCACCTTCGGCGCTGGTGTGGACTTCTGCGATCGCCACAAGGTCCACGCAACCCTCCTGTGATATCCGTTAGCCCGAGGTCCTATCTCTACCTCCTCGCCTTCGCCCACAACTACCGCGTGTCGAACGATGTCACGAGCTGACACAGTGGTCAAAAGCCCTTCACGCCGTCGGCGAGGGATATCCAACTTGGACCAGCCTGATCCCCGACTCGCGCTCCGACGGAAACCTCCATCCCATACTTCACTGGTTTACTAAAAAGGACTCCATGACGACGACGCACCTCCCGACCGGGCCTACCACTGCCAACATCCCCATCCTACAAGAAATGCTCACCGCTTCGACTACGTTGACCCCTCGTGGAACAGTCAACCAACACACACGGGACCTCTGCATCTGCAGCCCTTCTTCTGGCTCCTCCGCCCCTGCCTGAGTACCTTCGACACCAGTAATCCTGAGGCCCGAAGCCACAGCCTTTCTCCTCGAGGACAACACTCTTCACCATCGCTCGGCCGCTCTCCAAGTCACCGCTTGACAAGATCTCTTTGAATGACCTGTCTGACCCCAGTCGCCCACCGCGGCTTCGCTGACAATCACTGACCAAAAGAACGCACGTCAAAGGCGAGTCCGTGGGCCATCGTGCTACCTCTGACCCCTGGCTCTGTCCTGTCAAATCCTCGCCCGTCTCGTCCGTCACATCCGCTCCGCACACATCACGCTCAACACTCCATTGGAGGACCGCGCCTCCACTCCACTCTACAAAACACATACAACTCCGTCCGTAAGAAATGGTACAACGTCAAGCCCAAGTTCATCACCGATCCCTTCGTCTGCCGCAAAGCGGCTCGAACGGACCACCGGAATCTCCCACATGAAAGTGTCCGCTCGCTCCCCTCGTCCGGGCGGCGCCACTGCTCTCCTCTGCGCCCATGTGGACTCTGATGCCATCCGCCTCCTCGGTCGATGGAAGTCAGACGCCATGTTGCGCTACCTTCGAATCCAGGCCGCCAACATCACGCACCACTACTCCCAGAAAATGCTGGCCCACGGTGCCTACACCTTCCCAGGCGGGAACCTACGACAAGTTCCTCCCGCCTGCTCAGGCGCCTGCTACTATCGCAGAGATCCTCCTTCACGCGGAACTCTACGAGGACTGACCTCCCTTAGTCCAAATTCCCAGAGAGACCTTGCCTCCCTCGGTCTCTCCAATTTTCCCACCCCGCTACGCTCCCCCCTGTTCTGCCTTTGGTATTTGGGTTGGCCGAATGTCGCACAATCACGCGGGACTCACATCCCGCGGGACTGCCTCATTCGTGCCTTGGTTCCCGCTCGCGATTCTAGCATCACGAGCGCACCCCTGGGTGCGGAGACGGTCGGCTCAGTAAATGGCCGAGTCTCTCCCCCACCCTACACTACTCAACTAGTCTGTGCTGTGCTGCTCTAGGCGAGCGCGGCTTGTCGGCGCTCGTTGTCGAGCAGCCGCACGCAAAAGAGGAACAACGATCCCTGATCCCTATTTGCCCACGCTGCCTGGCGTGGGAACCTGAACCCTCATGGGTTCTTCGATAATGACTCGACTCACAGTTCCAAACTGTACCATCTCACAAAACAACGAAATCGATTCCCACACTTCGCTCCTACATCATCAAGTACATCTCTACATCTCTCAGGTCATCACCTGGCGTTCCTGAAATGGATACCCCACATACAATGTCGCTATTCTGCCTCCTTCGCAAGATCCACCTCTAAGGCAAATAGCACCCTCGGAAGACCGCTCACAGATAGCAACCTGAATGAACACACATGCAAGACCGGTCCAACTCTCTCTTCAGCCATTGAAAGTCGATCGCAAGAAGGTTGTCTCCTTCTCTGCTCACAATTCTTCCTTCAGCCGAGCTGCAGCAAGAACTAGAATAGATTAACCCACCTCTCCCTCCCTGGGTTGGCGAATGTCGCACAATCACGCGGACTCACATCCCGCGGGACTGCCTCATTCGTGCCTTGGTTCCCGCTCGCGATTCTAGCAATCACGAGCGGCACCCCTGGGTAGCGGAGACGGTCGGCTCAGTAAATGGCCGAGTCTCTCCACCACCCTACACTACTCAACTAGTCGTGCTGTGCTGCTCTAGGCGAGCGCCGCTTGTCGGCGCTCGATACCGGTAGTGGTGTATGTTGGAGATTCGATTGAATCGAATCGTATGGATTCGAATCGAATCATTCCAGTTTCCATCAATTAGATCTAGCCAGTAGTCTACTAGTACTTTTGATGTACTACAGTCGTGGTGGTAGTACCTGGTACATGTAGATCGATGTCTCAGTCGAGTCCACAGTCCCAGTCCTGTCTTTTCTCTCTTGAAAGACGCACAAAAGCCCATTAGCTAGCTATGTAGTACTGACTACATCGTATTTCAAAATACCAGTATGCATAGAAGAGATAGAAAGATTTCGGATTGATTGGTGTCTGTAGAAGACTGAGAAGGGTTCAGAGAACCCAAACGAAAGCATTATTGTTCCAAGAGAAGCCTATGTTGCCACATCAACGATGAAAATTCTCTTTTCGCGACAGAAGAATGATTTTTGCCAGGTGAGGTTCGATGGTTCCGCAGAGGTGACCGAAGGGTTATTAACTAAATTTTGTCGCTCGTCGGTTCAACAAAGAACGAATATGAGAGTGATGCCAGTGACTGAGTCAGAACATAGATCTTGAAGAATTAAAGTACTACGATTGTACATGAGAGTCTTGTAGACTGGACATGAATAAGTTCCAGCTTCTTTTCTGATTCCATTCCAAGCATGAGAACTTGAATATTGAGAACTTTGCACTAGATTTTGGCCACTGACGATTGCCAGATGAGTTGAGATCTATTAATAGAGAACATCGGGAGCCATCCATGGTTCTTTCTCAAGTGGATTGTTTCTAATTCTAAAATTCTGGCACAAGACAACAAGCAAAGAACCATAAGAGCCACCACCACCAAACAGAGCAGACAACACTATTACAACAACACTGGATAGCTAGACTACTAGTAGCTATCAATAGCACTCAAGTCAGTCCAACATGGATCCCAACAACAGCAGCAACACCAACACCACCAGCAACGCAGCTTCTAGCAACGCTGCTTCTAGCGCTGTGGATCTGAGCAGTTCAGGGTTCGCTCAAGCCTTTCTTCAAGCTCTCGGAATCCAAAATGCCGACAATGGCGCTTTTTTGCTCGCGGCGGCCGCTGCTCCTAGCAACAACCACCAAAACAACAACAACCAATACAACTCTCTCACGCTACAACCACAACAACCACATCCACCTCATCAGCAACAAGCTCCTGCGCCTCCACCACCTCCACCAGCAGCTTCCTTGCATTCTTGGAACAACGCGCCGGCAACGACGTCATCCGGTACTCAGTCGGCCGTGCTTCCAGCCGCGCTCCCAGGAATGCCGTCTACTGCGGGACTCAAAACCACGGGATTGCCTCCTGCTTCCTTGGGCACGGCACCCAACACAAACACAAACAGCACCTCCAATGCTAACAACGGAGTACAAGGCAACCACAATAACAACGACATTACTCTCGCCACTCTTTTGGAACTACAGAAAACCTTTGGTCCACAAGCACTACAGACACTCCTGGACGCAAGACAGCGAGGAAACCTTGACAATGTCACTGTACCAGTAGCTGCAACTGCAACCAATCCCGCTCCCCCCAATGCAGCATCCCTCCCGCCACCTGCTGCTTCGATGACGACCGAAAACACCAGCTTTTTCACCACGGAAAGCCTCATCGCGGCAAGCTTTGATGCACAAACCCTCAATGATCAGTAAGTATCTTACCATCAATCGTCTCGTCTTGTTCTTCTTGTCAATCTCTAACCAATGTACATAGGGTCGCCGTCTCTATGCTTCTCAAGGAAATCAAACAAGCCTTGAAAGTCTGCCTGCAGAGGATTGCCGCAGTGGTCAACAACAACAACAATGACGAGAGAGTCCAAGTCATTGATGAACTGCAAAGGCTTTCCGATAGAGAAAAACATCTGGAACAAGTACTCGCACTCAAGACACAGCCGCAGAACTTGACTCTACAGCAGTTACTTGAACAAAAAATGCCTTCCACAAACACTGCCACCGATGCAGACAGAAACGCTGCAGCGGCAAGGCTCGAACGCATCTTGAAGGTAAACCCAGCTGCTTCGGCCGCCATTATGCAGCAGATTGGTGGCACCACTACTGTTGCAGCTGCTACTAGTACTGCTGCTGCAGCAGCTACCATTTCCCCAAGCATCAACCCGCCCACAGCCAATGGAGCTCTAGCGGAGCTGCAGCGGCTCCTACAGCAGCAACCACAAACACATAATGCTGCTGCTGCCGCTGCTGACAATCTCAAGAGACCACCTCCTCCGGCCCCTGTTGCTGCGTTGCCCTCGGCAACCGCAACCACCGCAAGTGGCCTGCCATCCACATCCGCCACATCACCACCGGTAGCCTCGCTCAATCCGGCTCCTGCTCCTAGTAACAACCACGCTGGCAATAGTGGTGGTGCCGCTGATCCTATCGCGCAATTGCAGATGCTCATGCAACTGCAGCAATCGCAATCGCAGCAAACACCTGCCGGAATCTTCGCAAACCAGCTGCAGCAGCAAAACGCTGTCGCTGCCCAACCACAGCCACAGCTACATCAACAGCAACAGCCGCTTGCAAGCATCCCCAACGGCAATGCTCTCTCCAACTTCAACGTGGCTGCGTTGGCGGAGCTTTTGCAACGTCCACAGCAACAGAACCTTCCACAGCAACAGCAACCGCAGCAGTTGAACCCCGTTCAAAACCAGCACCAGAATATCTCGCAAGAAACACTCATGGCTCTGCTGGCATTGCAGCAGCCTGCACCACAGCAGCAACCTGCACTCCCGCCACCAGCACCACCACAGCAGCCTCAACTACTGGGGCTAGCCGCTGCGGGCACGGCATCGTCAGCAGCAGCACTTGCTGCAAATGCTGTCGCCTCAAACCAAGAAGCAGTCCAGCTCCTGACAGGGTTGCAGCAGGCAACGTTGCAAGGTAACCCCCCTCCTGCCGTTGCTGCTGCTGCTCCAGCTGCAGCTGGAACATCCAGTGTCGAGCAAGAGGCATACTTGTTGACACAACTTCAGGCTCGTGCGCAGCCACATGCACCGGCTCAACTGCCCAATGCGCACCCGCAAGAAGCTGCAGTGGAATACGATGACGATTACGACGATGATGAAGACGAAGAGGATGACGAAGAAGGAGCTTCGTCGGCACCAAAGAAGCGCAGGCGAGGTCGAACTGGTACTTTCCCACAGAAAATGCACAACATGTTGGAAGATCTGGAAAAGGTACAACTAAATGAGCCTCTACATCGTATCGTACTGCAATCCCAGTGACCCAACTAAGCCTTTGCTTTGCTTTGACTCCATCTCAGAACGGGGAGTCCCATATCGCCTCCTTTCTCCCGCATGGCAAGGCATTCGCGATTCATCGAAACAAGGACTTTGTCAAGTTCGTCATGCCGAAGGTAAGTCCTCCTGCGTTGCATAGTTTGTGGGGTGGTTCCCTCATGAGTGGCTACTGCATGAGCGAGAGTCCCTCACTTGATTGATTGAATCATTCTGCTTTCACGTTCTTTCCTGCAGTACTTCAATATGGGATCGTTTGCATCTTTTCAACGCCAGGTAAGCAAAGGAAAATATTACACACACAACAACTTGAAATTCAGTATCGCTGCCTGTCGCTCAACACCTGGCTTCGCCTGCATCTCCCAGTTGAATCTATACAACTTTAAACGAATCAACGAGGGGCCTGATCGTGGAGCCTACCGCCACAGAGACTTTATTCGTGGCCAGCCTCTCCGGAGCACGAACATGAGACGAACCAAGATCAAGGGAGCGGCTGCCAGAAGGAGGGGCCGAAGGTCCAATTGTTCTTAAGGACAGCCACCATCAGTGATTGGGTGGTTTCTCTTGTCGACTACCGGTACTAGCTAGTTAGCTGCTAGTATTAGTAGGTTTCAAGGCTCATAGGAGCACATTGGATCATCATTGCAAAGATTGAAGTTGGAGAGACCGGCCAATATGCATACAAGAACTAGAAAACAACTTCTTTTTTCGACCAGAATGGCGACGGAAGAGCTGCACACATCCATGAGAATAATCAAAGCTGGTGATATTTACATGTATTCTCGAAAGTCTTTTGCGTTTGCGCTGTACTGAACCTTACGGAGTTATCCCCCAGGAGCAGGGTGCGGAAACGAGATTTAACGGTCCTGCGTGAAACTACTATTAATAGTTTCACGCAGGCTTGCGTGAAACGAGAGAAGTGAAACCAAGTTTGCGATTCGATTCCCAGCTTTCCTTTTGAAAACGGTGAAACTACATAAGCCAAGACCTTACTTGGGGGACATTGAAAGGGCCGGAAATCACGATTTTATGAATCCAAGCAAATTGATCAATTCAAAACCTAAATATAAAATCGAAACCGAAATATAAAACCGAAACCAAAATATAAAACCGAAACCAAATTACTATGGTAATTAACTAGTAAAATCAAGCCGAAACCCAAATATAAGACCGAATCCAAAGTATAAAATCGAAACACAAATACAAAACTGAAACACAAGTATAAACCGGAATTTGGTGCAAATCGCGATTTCGGGCCGTTTCATTTATTTGCTGTCAACTCCAAATAGCACCATGATGAGTACCGTACGTGATCATGATTCTTATTAAATTTTGGTGAAGGAGGCTCTCGGAGTCTACCAGTAGTTTTGGGTGAGGTTTGTGACAAGGTTCTTTTCGTGCGTACCGGTACTGGGTGATTCGATTTCATTCGATTCTGTGTTCCAGTGACTGTGGATACAATGTCTCGGAATGTCCAATGTCTAAAATAATATAACAGCTATATAACCAAATCACCAGTGATCTTCGTTGCCTTTTTGATGAGAATGTCTAAGGTCGAAGGTCGAAGGACTGTCCGCAACGTCAACGAGGAACAGCAAGTTCGCTGTCTGTACATTTTCAAGTTTACGTAGATGTGGTAAAATATGAATACTGTATTATTAATTTGTAAATAGTGAAAATTATGTTTTAACTATATTTACCTTAACTCCGCTTCTATAGCTTGCTTCCACGCTGTCGCCTCAACCAACGGACAAACTTGGAGTCCAGTTGAAGTTGCTTTTGAAAAGCCTGTCAGTCGGCAATTGAAGTAATTTGGGGGGAAGTATCCAGGCCGGAGGGGTACCAGAACTGCCATTGTCTTTTTCTATCTTCGTCACCGGTAACTATACCGTATTAGCTACCTTGGAAGTACTAATATTAGTACCGGAGGTAGAAGAAGAATCGAATCAAGAATCCGATGGGAAATGCCGAAGTCTACTATTAATAGTATGCATTGTTCTACCGGAGTACTAGTAGTACCACAGAGAACATGTTAACAGGAAGCATTGCTGGTTGCTGGTTGAATCGAATCAAGAAACAAATAAGAATCAATCCCCACTGGGGCTGAGTTTTGCTGGTTCGCATTTATTTCAACTTAAAGTCTAGAATCTATGCATTGTTCTACCGGAGTATTTACTAGTACGGTACCACAGAGAACAGGAAGTGCTAGCAGTGCTGGTTGAATCAAGAATCGCCGTTATCTGACTCATTTCAACTTAATTACCTCGGCAGGTAAACTGCCTGAGTTCTCAACCCCTTTAACCTCGGCAGGTTAACTGCCTGAGTCCTCTACCCCTTTAATGGCAAATATTCTGTCTGTGGGATCCCCCTGGTTTTTGTCTGTGGGATCGTGGGATCCCCTCGTTTTGTGTCTGTGGGATCCCCCTCATTTCCTGTCTGTGGGATCCCCTATTCCGGTGAAGCCAGGGTATAAGGATAGAGATAATGTAAGCTGGCAAAACTGGAAATTGAGGGTTCAATAAAAGTTAGGGGTAGGAATACATCAATATAATTTAAGGTTAGTGCACTCAGGACAAAAACACAATAAGCCAGCAGATGTTGTAAATTTAGAGTTACACGATCGAATGATAGCTGTAAATTATGGATTAGCCCGTGGCAACGCCAATGCTAGCTTAATATAAAATAGAAGATTACAATGAGGGAATGATAGTGGGCGGCAACACACGACGAACCTCCATCAACTGTGTATCTTCGATTCAGGAGCAGGTGAGTGATACGTACAAGATTGGATTCGATTGAATCATTCATCATTACCTCGGCAGTCGATCTGCCTGAGCCCTCACCCCTTTTACCTCGGCAGTCTATCTGCCTGAGCCCTCACCCCCTTTTTTCGTATTTCCTGTTTCCTGTTTCCTGCTTCCTGTTTCCTGCTTCCTGTTTCCTGCTTCCTGCTTCCTGTTTCCTGTTCCGGTGAAGCCAAAATATAGGGATAGAGATAGGCACAAGCCAACTCTACAAATTTAGGGGTAGAAATAAATCATGATCATTCAAGGTTAGTGCACTCAACATAATAAGCCAGCAGAAGCTACAAAAGTTACAGGTACATACGGGAGTGACAGTTGTAAAATTATGGTTAGCGGGCGGCAACACTCGACGAAGTCGGGTGTTGTCGCCAGGGCTACCTTAAATAAAAAGAAGGTTATAATGAGGGAATGATACCGGGCGGCAACACACGACGAAGTCGAGTGTTGTCGCCAGGGCTACCTTGAAAGAAGGGTGCAATCTCAAACATGTCATCCTTCGTCTATCTGTCTTTCTGCCGAGGTATCGCAGCTCCCGCTGACTTAATGCTATTTCCTATTTCCTATTCCGGTGAAGCCAAAGTATAAGGATAGAGATAGTCATAAGCCAACAAAACTGAACATTGATGGTTCAATACAAGTTAGGGGTAGGAATAAATCATTAATATTTAAGGTTAGTGCAATCAGCACAACAGCACAATAAGCCAGCAGGAGTTGTAAAGGTTAGAGTTACAATAAGGGAATGGCAGCTGGTAAATTACAGAGTAGCGGGCGGCAACACACGACGTAGTCGGGTGTTGTCGCCAGGGCTAGCTTAATAAAGACGGTTGCAATGAGGGAATGAATGATACCGGGCGGCAACACACGACGTAGTCGGGTGTTGTCGCCAGGGCTGGCTTGAAAGATGGGTGCAATCTCGAACATGATCCTCCTTCTTCTATCTGTCTTTCTGCCGAGGTATCGCAGCCCCCGGCAACACACGACGTAGTCGGGTGTTGTCGCCAGGGCTGGCTTGAAAGATGGGTGCAATCTCGAACATGATCCTCCTTCTTCTATCTGTCTTTCTGCCGAGGTATCGCAGCTCCCGCTGACTTAAAATAGCAACTCTGTGAGCGAGCTTTAGGGTACGATTGTACCGTGCCGGCGCTATCGACCGCGCACGACTAGTAGCTAGTCAAGCTATCTGCGTCTAAACCAGCTCTTCTCAAAGAAA